CCTCTGGTTCTTCTCTCGCCGCTGGAAGCCTCTGCAGCGATCCTCGCTGTTTCCCGGTCTTTGCGGACCCTCCTGGGCCCTTCTGGACGTCGCGCGATCACCTCCTTCGTCCCTGCAGCCTCTGGGACTTTCGCCCTTTTTAAAATGGCCGGCTGCACGGGGCGTTTGCGCATGCGCTGGCAAGCCGGAGCTTGAAAAGCGGCACGGAGCACAGCAGGAGGATGGTGAGTCGATCTGCTTTATCCTTNGGAGAAAGAGGGGGCGAGATGGAGCTGTGCCTTCTGTGGGAGCCCCCTGGCGATGCTGGAGATGGTGCTCTGGCCTCAGCTCGGGCTGAAGGCCTGCAGGGAGAACGAGATCTGGAGGGGGAAGGGCTGATGGTTGCCCTGTACTCCCTGGTCGAGGCCCTGGTTGTTCTGACCTCCTTCCTGGGGGCTGCCTTTTTGGGGGCCCTGGCCTTAACCCTCCTCACTGGGGATCTGCCTCTAGTGGTCGGTGAAACCACCCTGGAGGGCCCTTCGTCCGGATCCACACCCCCTGGGGCTCTGGACCTGGTGTCCCTGCTCCTGGTCGCCTCCACCATTACTCACGGTTACGGTGCTCACCAAGTTCCTTCCTCTGCAGCCGGCTGTAGGGCGGATTGCCTCCCCGGGGCCCGGATCCGCTTCTCTGCTTTCCTGCCGCTGGATTGTGGCCTCAGCTGCCGGCAGGCACAGACCTGGAATACCCCCCGGATCACCGGCGGGTTAGAGCCCAAAAGGAAGCATCTTCTGGCTTCCTGGTGCCTTGTGAGCGCTTTCAGCATCCGTAGGGGAACGCTGATCACGCGCTCACCCACGTGCTTCTAAGATGGCGACTGATTAAGATGGCGATCGCTGGAGTCCTCCGGTTCTTCTCACGCCACTGGAAGCCTCCGCAGCGATCCTCGGTGGTTCCCGGTCTTCGCGGACCCTCCTGGGCCCTTCTGGACGTCGCGTGATCGCCTCCTTCGTCCCTGCAGCCTCTGGGACCTTCGCCCTTTTTTAAAACAACCGGCCGGTCACACGGGGCATTTGCGCACGAGCTGGCAATCCAGAGCTTGAAAAGCGGCGCGGAGCACAGCAGGAGGATGGTGAGTCGATCTGCTTTATCCTTAGTAGTAATCCTGATAGGAAAAAACTCTTGCTGAAAAGGAAAAAACTCCTAAGTTTTCGAAAAGAAGGGAGAGAAAGAGTAACACTCCGTTCAGGCCGAAGACTGAGGTTAATCTGGGTAGCCACAGGAGAGCAGGAGGTGTGGCTTCCAAAAGATTTCCTCAGTCTCCAATAGGCAAGAAGGCTTGGTTAATACCCATGATTACTCCTCCCACACCTTCTCTTCGGAAACACATCAGCTTCCTAATTTGACACTTGTAGAATGGAAAGAAAACAAGGATATGATGGAAATAATGTGCCATATAAGCTTATCTCTGGCAGAGGGTCATCTGCCTGGCTTTCCATGTTATTTACAAGATAAAGTAATAAGATAATTGTTGGAGCTTGTGTGTTGGAGCACAAGATAATGTCTTAAAAATACCTCTGGCAGCAGGTCAACTATCTGTATTGTGACTAGGCCACAGATAAAGAATTTCACCAAATAACCTCCAGATAATGTTTATACCTCTCTTGTAAAAACATATAAAAAGATAGCTAAAGAACCCAAATACTTTGAACTGAGACCTTAAAGGCCTGAGAAAATGCTACACAGCTGGCTCCAGGCTGTGGATGATCTAAAGGACGTGCTCAGATATCTTCAGCTATATAACTGCTACAATAAATAACTTGATCTGAGCCTATTATTTTTGAATGCTCAAACTTAACTTACTACACTTACTTGTTTCATTATCTGCATTGCAGTTTTTAAACTGACCAACCTCAAGTTTCATAGTTTTGGCACTTAATAGCAAAAAGTTTTCTTGTGCTATTACTGAAATTTAGTACTTGTCATCTCTTTCCAAGCTGCTATGGGAAAAATATGGCAGAAAAAAATTAAAACAAAAACACTCATAATATTTCTTGTGCACTTTTATCAAGGCACAATGCAGTTCAGGTGGGGTGGGGGACACCCACTGGTATAAAATTCTATTCCATATAATTAATTTATTGAATCAGTAAAACTAATATTTACAATTAAATAATTATCATGCAGTTTTAAATGAATGCTCTGTAATACTGCAGAATGCATGTATATCCATAGTTAGTATAAAACAAATATTAACTTGAAAATTAGACTAGCTCTATACAATTTGGAGAAATAATGGACATTATAATTTTACAGAAATAAAGAGAAGGATATATCTTATTCCAGAATCATGAGTCAAGGTCCTGATCCCTTAATCTAGATCTGGAAACCAACACCCTGAAAGAAGAAACAGAAAGATGATCAACCAGAAGAACATGATGGATGAGCACGCGTGCAGAAAGAAAAAGAGCAGACCCACATCTAAATGTTGGCAAATGGAAGATTGCAAAGTCAAGTTTGAACATAGCTTAGTTTAGATACTGTGAGAGGTTGTGGAAAACAATGGAAAGAAGACTAGATGTAAACAAGCAATAAAAGGAAAATCCATTGGTACTTTATCTTAGAAATGACAATTCATATCAAGAAAGCTGAGAAGAAGCTTTTCAAGTCATTCAAAGAGACTCCACTTTCATTATTAATTAAATTGCAGTTTCCAAGATTCTGTATTTATTACCAAAGGGGCATTCAAGAAATGTGTAATCTTGCATCCTTGATCTGACCCCCCTATGTGGGGCTTGACAGATAGGAAGCCAGTAAAGAGTTCATGAATCATAATAACATGATAATATAATATCCAAAACAGTTCAAATAGAATTGGAAAAAGGAATCAGGAATCCTAATGCAATAATCTATGCATAAGCTAATTTATGATCAAAAAAGCTTCAAGTGTAAGATCAACATTGGCAGCCCTCACTGTAAGATTAGTTCCTGGGTATAAGGTCAATTGAACATCAGTCAAGACTGAGGGCAGCAGAAGCAGGCTTGGTGATAAAGATCAAGCCGGAATATGATGTTACACTTCTTATTTATTTTCATCTGTAATTCATAAGTGAATCTCCAAGGTGGAATATTGATAAAATATTCTGTCATAATTAATCACATGCCATCATTATGGAATACATAATGACTGCCAGATCTCAGGTCTAAAATCTGATAGACCGGTTTTCAGCAGTGTAACATTGAAAAATCCAATTATGAATCAGAGCAACCAAGGGAAGTATATGAAAAGTAAACAAAATAGGTCTGAGAAATTGATATCTGAGGGATATCCACTAGTTCCAAAACTATAAACTGCCTTGTAAACTGAAAGCTTGGGAAAGAAAATACATGTCCCAACTGAATGTATGGCCAATCGTGGCCAGGAATCATACCCTATATAGTTTTGCTGCTGTTCAAGTGTATTGAATAAGGTTGCCTTTAGAAGTTAAATGCTGTATTGCTCCAGTGCCTGCATCATGCATATTAGAATGTATCTTGCATAACCCTCCTATTCTGAGCATTGTCAGTCTGTGTGTTACGAAAAGCTCATCTGTGACATTTATATATTGCTCTCAAATTCCAGCTTCACTGGGTGTATCCTCTCATATTGTGATTGAAAACACTTTACTCAATGGTATTAAACTACCGTACAGACTTGTTATACAACTGCAATAAATTAAAAACAGTTTCCAAATACAACAATTTGAAGATGTTTTGGGTTTTTTTCTCCACGAACCATACTGAGAAGCCTGATTTAAACAACTGGGTTACTGTCAGCTCTCCCAGGTAAACCAGACTCGGCACACAACTAGATGAACTAATTCTACTTTACTGTAAAGTTACATTAATAGGAACTTGCAAGTCTGAAAGTGCAAATTCCCACATAACTTTTAATTGCCTGATTCATTAGGGCGAATCCTTCCTTAGTCCCCACCCCCTCCCCAGCTCTTAAGCTACTCAGGGTTTCTGCCTCTCTTGTCTGATTGTTTCCTAGACATCATGTCTTCTTTTCATTTCCCAAGGTCACCCACACATTCCATTAAAGCCACTAAGTTTCTCTCTCTAAATATTCTGTGTTTTCAAAGAATAAAAATAATGAATATTCATGCTGCATCTTTAAATTAATTTCCATATTTGGCACTTGAATCTTTATTTGCTTAATTTATAAATGTTCTAGGTGTTAGCATCTGAGTTACTTCCACAACAGAATAATCAGCTCACCTTAGAGTTCTAATCTTAAGAGTTCTCTCACCACAAACAAATATACACATATAAGAATAAAACTGCTGCAAATTCAGTCATTAATTTTTAGACAAATATTTTTCTTAATTGCCTTTCTCCTGCATAAAACAAATGTACCATTTTTCTGTTGGTTTGTTAGTTTTAGCTTTTGTTTGGTTTTCTGTGGAGATAGCCTTGGTCAATTATTTTCTGTGTGTAGAAATTGACTTTTTAATACCTCTGATGAATCTGCACTGGAAAAAAATCTGGGAAGTATGGGACTCAATGAATAGACTGCACAGCATACAACAAGATTCAGAGATACTCTGAACAAATGGGGCTATCCAGTTGCTTCTGCTTTTGTGATTGTGTTGACATGCAGACAACAATACATATGCATACCTGCTCTTTGTGCCCCCATCAGTGTACACTTGACTTAAAGGCAGCATGAGAGAACACAATATAATATTGTTAGTTTCTGGGCAAGATTTGTACATTTAAAATTCTGTTTAATTTGTACATACTTTAATCTTCTATTATATATTTTACATTGCATTCCATATAGTATGCCTTATTTTAATTGTGATACTGAGATAGTTGAAAAGGAAATGCTGCTGATTTATGGATGTCCTGTTTATGGACTTTCTGTGAGATATATTGGATGCCATAGGGAAAGAATACATTTCTTACATTTTACTTGGTTATATGAAACAAAATCAGGCATGTACCCACCAAAGTTCACTTATTGTTCAACTCTCCAGCTGCAGTGATGCTGGTACCTGAAAAGAAGACAGAAGATGGATTTGAAGAGCATCTTGGTGTTAACTACCTGGGACATTTCTTGTTGACAAATCTCCTCTTGGATACCCTGAAGCAATCAGGAACACATAGCCACAATGCTCGGATTGTCACCCTCTCATCAGCCACCCATTATGTAGGTGAATTACATCTTCATGATTTACAAAGGAGGTATGCAATTTTTTGGCCTAATATTATTAATCCCTCCCACCCACTGAAGAGTATTTATTAGCAGAATAGAGAGGGCCAGCTGTCTTTACATTCTATAACTACCTTCAGATTAAAATATACTAAAAAGAAATGGGAGTTTGCATAGAGAAGATTTGCAGGAGGGAGGCTGCAGAGAAGATCAAAGAATGAAAAATGTTACATAAGCTGGCTTCAGAAAAAATAAAATATTCAAAACATTTTTAACATTATATATAAATAGTCCAGATTTATTTATTTTATGTTGGTTTGCATGTGGTGTTTGCTTATAGAACTTTTAAACAAATTTGGGATGGGAGAAGCTTTGAAATGTCATTTCGCACTTCTCCTCTTGTCGACATTTTCTCTTATCAGTTGTGTTCTGCATTAGACCAGATTTCTTGAACATACTTGCAATTTGACAGTTAATTCTGGCAAGTATTAGTTTTAATTTGTTCCACTTAAATCTCTCTATTCATCTGTCTGCCCAGACCTCAACATTTTGCTACATTTTGATTATGGAATTAATTTGTTCTCTCTCTTGCATCTGTCAACTTTGTACATCTTTGCTTGGTCTTGTTAATCTTACTGCTTTAAAAGAAGATACCATAACAACTGTAGCTATAATTATTGATTATTGGCGATTTAATCAAAATTCCTGACATATTAGTTATTAAGGATAGATGATCTAAAGGTACTTTCTTATACTAAGCAAATTAGTGAAATACAGCCAATTGAATGTAAGCTTCACTATTTATAAATAAAAATTAATCTTTTTCCATATACATACAATTATAGTAATTGTATTAAATGTAAAATTCAAGAGTTTTTTTCCAATCTTCGGTCTCCACAGACATGTTCCCATTTCCATATCTCTATGTTTCTTTTTTGAGTTTGAATTATTAGATTAATAATCCCCCTTCACTTCCTTCTCATTTGGACTAGTTGCATTTCTATACATTAAAATGTCCGTGTGTAGGGGGGGGGAGAGAGTTCTCTTTAAATTTGGTAATAATGCCACCTTGTCTCAACTCTTGAAACATAAACTGACCAATTTTTGTAATTTATGTTTTTAAAAAAAACAAAAACAAATGATACCCAATGTTTAATAAATTGCACCAATTTGCAGGAAACTAATGCTAAAATAGTACTATCTGCATAAAAAGCACCATTCCTTCATTATTAGTGGTTCTATTTGTGTATTAAATCTGTTTTACAGAACTACAAAATATCCTATGTATGCTCTCAGTTCCTTATTCCTTAGCAGTGCAAGAATATTTCCATCATTCTTCACATATATGTCAGAAGAGTGATAATAAAAATGAGAAGGGTTAAGTCTAGTGTTAGTGTGAAATTAGAATACTTTACAAATTGGTATTAAGTATATATAAATGTACATTTGGGATGTGTAAATTTTTTTCATGATTTATAGCACCCATTTGTGAAAACATACTGCGCATGAGTTACATATTATCTTTCCTCTTTGATTTACTGTACTGATTAGTATTTTCATAGTTCAACAGCTTAGGTCACATAATGTTACAGTTCAATTCATGCTGGTAAAGCTATTGCAGAAAATTTATCACTTATTCTAGTTATTATTTGGAGTCGCATATGATGAATAATAGTCCTAAAACACTGGGTCAAAAACGTATTGTGGAAAGTAGCATTAAACCTTAATGGAGTGAAACAATTCAAACTGTTTGTCAGAAAAAGGTTTTGCTTTCTGTAGGACACAAAGTGCTTGGCCAGAGTTATCATCTGTTGGCTGAAGTATAGAGATTGTTTTTAGACCACACCCAGGGGCATCTTCATCTCCAGTGGTCTTTTGCTTTGAATCACAATAAAATCACACTTTGCTTTAAAATGATTCTGTAGATCCAGTGGGAATAAAGATGGTTTTCTAGGAAGTATTAGTCTAAGCCCAGTTTTGATAGGAACTTCACAGTTCATTTGGAACTTTGGTAGCTGTGTATCAGCATGCTCCACTGAGGACCCCACAGTTTGTGTCTTTCTAATGTATGCAGTTCAGTTCCTATAATTTGCAGCAATGGCTCAACATTCTGGAAGTTAAAATCAGCACATCCAGAAAACGCTCAGATTAGATGTAGTATCCTTTAATTGCAAAATAAATTGATTTCATTTAGGGATGCTGTTCAGAATGGAGGAATTAGATCATTCTTCTTCTCTTCCTCTGTATCTATCACTTTATTTTTCTTTCTTAATGGAAGAAATATGTTTAGAACATACAATTTTAAGTATTTTGTTCCTGAGTGTGGGAGTAGTTTTTGAAATGTGTTGTAAATCTTCACCTCATGCAAATACTTCTTTTCTTGCTTTCAAAAGCTGAAATAATGTCCTCATTTCATTTTGTAGAGCTTTGGCCTAGCACAAGACTTAATGGTAGTTAAATTAATGTATAATTTAGATGTGCAATTTTTTTCTTTACTGCATATCTTTGAAACTGCGTGTGCATATACAAAGGAATAATGTACCTCTATATTCATTCATTCCAGAGTAAAAAATTCTTCTAATGGATAGTTCTCTGCCCTGTTATAAAAGTCCATCATTTACTTCAAAAGAAGTGCTGTAATTTGCATTGAGAGCCTTTATATTTTTTGAAATTATGTGCTTCCTTTTCAAGCAGGAAAACAAGAAGCAGCACTGCCTCATAAGAATCTGACTTCAGATTCTTTAGGATGGGCAAGCAATAAGGTAGCTCCTTTTGTAAAAGCGAAGTCTGTTGAATTTCCCACTCATGGTTTACTCTATGACTGTATATTAAAACATTGCATCTGCACTTATTAAGAGCAATCCTTAATTTCAGTAATTTATTCTATGAATAGCTATTATTGATCTCATCTGTTTCCATTTTTACATTTTACTGTGATAGAGATTTTTTTCCCCCTGCTTCAGTTGTGTCTGATTCTTCAAGACTGGCTGGACAAGTCTCTGCAGATTTCTCGGCAAGATTTGAGAAATGGTTTGCCATTGTCTTTTTCTTACCCCTGAGAGAAAGCGACTATTCCAAGGTCACCCATTTAGCTTTGTGCCTAGGGCAGCACTAGAGCACACATTCTCCCAGCTTCGAGTCTGATATCTTAACCACTACACAAAACTGGCTGTTCATAGATTATATTTCATTTTGCCACATAGTACAATGATTCCTGCCCACATACAAAAGGGATTTGAGGTCTAATTAGTTATTATATCCTGAAACTACCTTGTGCCTTAGTATTTGTTATTGCATTCTCACTATAAGAACATGATAAATTCTGAAGCATAGGAGATTTTGCATCAAAAATATTTATGTTCTGAGTGTGTCCCTGCAGAAATTCTTCCGCCTTCAAAAGCTTTCTTTATGTCTTTGAAATGTTAATAGTTTTAAATCTTTGAAAACTCAAGTACCAAATATTCCTGTATTTATCCGAAGGGGAAAGTATTCCGTGCTTGGTACCCAGAAAAAGCAAAATGCAAACTTTCACACTGCCCATCTTGTTTCTTTTTCAGTTAATATTGCTAAGTGCCTCTGGATTCAGACCAATCCCCTTCACACAATACATATGTGTAAATCACACATTTTAGAACTGTGTACTCATATTAATGCACAATTCTGAAGCCAAAGTCCAAAAATTAAGGGTGGAATTGGGCAAAAAACCCAAGTCAATTGAATCCAAATAATTACATTTAAATGAGGTTATTGTGGGGGATGTATAGATTTCTAAAGAGATTCTCTTCCACTGCCAGGCCCATTTTCTGCATCCTATCTAGGTTCTCATCCAGGTCTCAGTTACACATGCCAGCCTGCTTCCTCATCCACAATCAAATCATAGATGAAGGCAGTCTTACTGTTTATGACCTTGGCATTCAATAGCACTAGTCAGAGCTCAAGTCTAGTGAAGTTCTTAGTGACCTGGTTTAGAGATGAATGCTAAGGCTGAAGGTATAAATCATCAGCCTTGCCATTCCCGCAAGTGGCTGGCCCCAGTTTCTTGCTGTATCTCTCTCTTTGTCCATCATGACCTTAATGAAGCTATGTGGAATCAATTTTCAGCTGGGGGGGGGGGAACAAGACCAATTTTTCATTTTTACAATTTGATAGATTTTAATCTATTCATTTTCCAAAATCCATTAAAGCAAATAGGCTTATCATAATCCTGTACCTTTAAAAATAACATGACTCAGGTAACATTAAAGAGTCTTTAATTACAGTATGAAAAAGACTACCCAGATTTGAAAAATTGATTAATGTAAACAGTCTTTTATACTGGCAAGAACATGCAGTTGTATTAAGAAAGAAAGAAAATAAACTGAAAGAACAACTAGCCAACTTCGTTTCGTTGCACTTAGCAGAAACAGAACAGAGAAGAATGATGCATAGAGCTTTAAGATTACAAAGCTGCAGAAGTTCATGATAGTGTGAAAAATAGTTATGTAGAAGATGGGGATTTAAATAGGATTAGAGATATGATCAAAGACATAGAGAAGGCATAGAGAAGGCAAAAGATGAGAAAAAAATTAGCTATACTATATGCTCTAGTGGTAGAGTATACACAATACACTCTAATGGTAGAAGAGAATGATTGACCATGTCAATAAGGAGAAATGTCTGCATATCAAGAAAGATTACAAGAACAAACATTTTTTTAAAAAAAATGTGTACCTGTATTCAAGAAAACTTAGTTATGTAGAACAAGCAAACATAATAATTTTATATGTGCTGTCATCACCATGAATCCTTTAGTTAACACATAGATAAAAGTGAACCAAAAACATTTCAAAGTGTTATATTAAGTGACCAATTTATTTACTAAAACCAACCATACATGCAGTATAATCTGTCTTGTGATTTTAGGAAACAATTCTTTAATAACTGTAGCAATGTTGATAAATGAATACAAGCAATATCTTAGAATGGGGTGGAAAACCTTGATTTTTATGACTTGTGGACCTCAACTCCCAGAATTCCTGAGCCAGAATGCTGG